ACAACAGATGGATTATAAAATGGGAAAAGTTCCAGACTATTCTATAAGAAGTGGCTTGAACAGGAGTGAGGATTTCTATATCAACATAATAAAAAGAGAAGTGGGGATAGGGCTTCTAGGGGAGAATGTAAGGTATGGCAGTGCTGACAGTTTTTTTTAAATGCAGTTTCTCATCCAGGTGCTAATGGTCAGTCTGTTTCCTAGCTGTAAGTACCCACCTCTCCCTCAAATCCCCCCGCACCCCTTCAAACACACATTCCATTGGATTGGTGGCAGTTTCATTTTCAGAAGGCTCTGCCTGCATTTAATCAAATAAGGGAAACTCAGAAAATGCTTCCTCTGCATCAGCTGTGTCTCAGATGTCTTCAATTTAATCTCACATAATTCTGGTGTGTGTGGCTCCCTTCATTTGGGAAGATGGAGCTAGCACTAACACTCAAAGCTCTAAGAAGTGCTGCTTAGCTGGTGCTGGTGCCTCTATACAATGAAACCTGCATGTAAAATGTTAGGAAAACCAGAGACTGGATTTTGCTGATAGAGTGGATGCAGCCAGTGAAGCACTGCAGGAGTGATATAGGAACCTCAATCACCAAGAAGGCTCACCGGATGTAGATAAGAAGGAGCCTCTGCAGTTTGTGGGTGAAACCTAAAAGGGAGTCAGCTGACAGTGCAGGAACTTGTTAGCAGAGGCCAGTCAGCACACCAACTTACTAGAAATGCAAAGACTTCGGCTCCACCTGCAGAACAGAAGGTAGAAGTTGTGTGTTAACAAGCCCTCCAGTGATTCTGCTGTGAAGTTTGAGAACTAGTAAGAACAACTTGGCTTCCTAATTCTGCTCATTTTCAGGCCAGCAATGAGTGGTTCGTTAAAAATAAGAAAGTGCTGCTTCAGAATCTAGTCAGATTTTTTAGTTCCCCTGCACTTCTAAGAAGGTGGGATTGGTAGAAGCTAGACAAATTCAAGTTTTTTAAAACAGTAGTTTCTTTGTGAATTAAGTAGGAAAAGGTACTCTTGAGTAGGGATTGGATTTTTTTAAGTTATAAACAAGTCCATTTAAGAGAAGAGCCACATATACTTCAGTGCTTAATAAAAGTAATGAGAAACTGAATCATATTTAATTTCTATATTTGGATATTAAGTGGAATTTAAGCATAATGATAGCTATATATACTTATAAGCTATATGTTACATATACAAAGTTTTATTTTTAATAACTAGCTTGAATTATTTTCAGACACCCAAGACAGTTTTCCTCCTTTCTTTATGTACCTTACTCTCCCCAGGCATTAATATGAAGTCTTTTCTGCAGAAGGACATTTAACCCTAGACATGAGCGTATGTATGTACACACTCAGTCCTCAACTGACATTTAAAATGTGTTCTTTCTCCTATTCTACCCATGTATTCCAGTTTTCCATCCTTACCTCCATGATTTTTAGCAATAAAATACCTCATAAATTGGATACTAAAGGTTGTGTAAAGGGTAGGGACTTGTCTGTTCACTCACTAAATATTACTGAGTTCCTTTTCATACTTTGTGGTATGCTCTGTTTAAGCACTAGGTAAACAAAGCAGTGTTTCTACATCTGGAGCTTATAATCATGACTCAAATTATAAAATGAATAAATGTAAGGTGGAGATACAATGTTACTAAAAAAATACATTGTGCAGGAATAAAAAGAATGAGGTGTTTGCTATAGAATACGTTAATTTCTGTGTGCCTACTACCTAGCACTCAATAAATTTTTATTGAATTAACTAACCAACCTATGAGAGACTCAACGGCACCTTATATGTCTTTGGTAAGAGTAATGATATAGCTAATGAGATCCATCTAAATGCAGCGGTCTGAATTCTAGACAGTGAGAGTGGTCACTAAAAATAAAATAAAACCATGTTTTGGCATTTGAGCAAGTTTTAGTAAAGGAAGAACAAGAAGATCAAATAATATAAGAAAACCAAAGGAAAAGGTTAGCTGGTCTAGTCCCTTGCTTGAAGTTCTTGAGATGCAGTTGGAAGAAATGAGTATGGCTAATTAGTGTGGTGTTTACTAAAGCTACTGGATAGAACTTCAGGATCCATGCCCAGAGAAGGTCCTGAAGCTAAGCCTCTGCACAGGAAAACATAAGAGTGCTGTGGAATTGGGAAAATAGTGAGGAAAAAATATCAGAAACATGAATCATTCCCTTTCACCTATACTCAAAACCCTATAGTAAACTTGAGTTCATCTTCAGGACAAGTTTTAAAAGAAGCAGCACTATTAAAAGTTGCTTTAACAGAGAGTGTCATATTCTTGTATTATCTTTGAAAAATGCATTTGATATGTACCCTTTGTTGATACCTAAAAAATGCTTACTTCTTAGGCTAGCAATTCCTAACACTGTCTTCTATTTTCTGTTTACCCCTGCACATACAAGAGAACAACAGATTTACAGCTAGCAAATGTGTAATAAAATCTCTCATCTTTGCCATTCTGAAATACGGAACTACTCTAAATATTGTTTAAAATCAGACATTTCAGTTAGTTAACAGGATACATTAACCTTTTGTAGTAGTTAAAAATTAGATGTGCTTTTAAGTTGGCCTCACCAAGCCAAAGCAGGGAGGGTCATCTATGTCACACTGAGCAGCACCCAGCAACACAAGTAGGCACCAGAACATTTGAGACTGTTTCTTAAGAGAGAGTGGAAAGTTCCTTTGTGAGATTGGGCGGGGAGGGAAGGATCGTGGAACTTCACACTTGAAGCACAGGGTGTTCTGTCTTCATTTATAGAAAGTGAACAGAGATGAAAGCGCAATAAACTCAAACGGGCTAAGTTTTCAAAACCTATTCCCAGTAATTTTCCCTCATGAAATAACATACTGGAAATAGAATAATAAGTTACTAACTAGGTAATAAATCCCTTGCCAAGCAGAAAATTCTGAGTGAGGAACATATGCAGTAGGTAGATTAAAAAAAAATGTTCAACACTAAACTAAGATTTTACTCCAAATTCACAAATCTGGATGAGTTCTGACTAGATTGACACAGAATATTCCAATTAGTTATAAGGAAAAGATGGAAGAATATATGAAAAAGAATGCAGTTAGGGATCAGTGAGAAGATATTAAAGCAACTTTTTAAAGATTTTAAATGATGGTTAGAATCAGTGTCTGGATTTTAGCCCTGAGTCTATCACAGTGTGACTCCATACAACTTACTAAGCCTTACGGCCCCAGTTTTATTACCTCTAAAACGGGAGCTACAGTAGACTCTTGTGGGATCACCGGGATGTTTAAATGTGTAACTCTTATAAAAACAAATAACAGTTTCTGGAACAAAGTCAGCATTCAATATGCATTAGCTGGTATTTTAGTATTATTTTTATATTGCCAGCCCTGTACGTGGGAGTATTTTTAATACAAAGGAAAAAAGAGTGGTAGACATGCTTGCCTCACTATTGATCATATTTAGAATATTAATCAGATTTTAAAACCATGTTATCTTAGGCCTGTCTACCTACCACTTAGAATTCAGGCTCAAGCTTTTTGGGGGAAAAGAAGGAAACTTTTAAAATAAATTCACAAACTACTTACCCACATAAAAATATACCTAATAGTTCCATATTGAAAACTTAATGTTTGAAATAATCAAAATAAAATTTGTATTAACCATTTTAATCCTTCTATCTGCCATTTTCCCCCTTCTAATAAGTTCATTATCTCCAAATATATCTAATAGTCTGCAATCATTAACGTCAGTTCTAGGTAAAAATTTTTAAAGTTGACTTTTATTGTTCTTAAGCATCTGACAATTTTTTTGTTACAGTTAGAATTTATGGTGACGATGTCTGGTATCCTTCTATCAGACAAGCTTGCAGTTTCTGTAGAAACAAAGCTTTTGGAACTATTTCAAAGTGGAACTCAAAAGACACTGCATTGATGTAGAGAATATGAGACATTAATAAAATAAAACATAATACACTTTATAAATTATCATCAAGCCTGAGCCAGACACAGAAGGGTAGAAAGCCTGAATTCTGTACCCAGTAATTGACAGTCTGTGGAAACTCTGGGAACCACGCCACAGCTCTCCAAGCTAGCATAGTTGAGAAGTGACACATGCTTTAAGAAGCACTCATTCAGGAAATGAGTGGGTCACAAAGCTCACCCGTAAACGGTCCACAAATTTTTTTTATGAATGAAGAGTATAAGATGTACTGGCTAATGGTGCTATTCTCTCAGGAGTATTCATAAGTTCCCAGTCATTCTTCAGTTTTTGTCATGGTAATAGACGGATACTATAGAAATCTAAAAGTGGGAAAATAATCACATTCACCATACTGTCCCACATCATCTCATAACTATTTTTAATCTATTTCTATGTTTATCCCTATTCCATAGATCAGATCTTCCTACCTGCCCATTCCTATCAAAAAAAGAAAACAAATAGACGAAAAAACACAAAGAAATGACAGACAAGAAAACCACAAACTAACCAATTTTATTCACACTGCCCATAAAAAGCAATTAAACTTTACATAAATCCATTAACACAGAACAATAAAAATCTTAAGAGTGATATATATGATTAGAAACACAATACAGTAATAAATGTGAAAATTAAGACTAGCATATTTTAATGATTAAATTTATTCTTTCTACTTATTTATAGCAGCATCTGTAAGATTCTACTTATTTGTTCAGAATTAACTAGCAGCGAAATTATTTAAAATTACACGAATGCAGTAAATATTTACCTCCAAAGTTTTGTTTGACAGAAATTTTATCACATTAAACCAAATAATACCACTTCTGTTTCCTAAAGAAAAAAGAGGGAGATTTCTTCAGTTATCAGCTCCCTCAAAAAAGAAAGAAGGAAGAGTAAGGAAATTAGTGAAAAAATAAATTCTTAACCACCTCAACCAACTCTGGGTAGATTTTGTGGATCTGTGAGTGAGCTTGTGTGTATATGTGAGTAAATGCTGTACAGACTTTATTTTCTGACTTTACACTGCAGTTGAAAAATATGTGGAAGTTTCCAGGAGGCCTGTCAGAGCCAGGAGAAGATATTGGTATGTATCTTACATAATTTTAATTACCTTGAAAATGTTGGAGGAAATTGTGTGCTTCCTTTCCAAGGATAAGAATTTGAATTAAATTTAAGTAGGACTAAGAATTTAAATTTTCTAATTAGTTCAGACCAAATTAGAAAACTTCAGACAGATTACTTCAGGGCTGACATAAAATTAGCAGCAAAGTTTCTCACATTGCAGTTTATTCTATTAGTTTACTGATACTATTAGGACCGTAACACCTATTCTCCTGTTTAAGAATGCTTCTAGATAAATTTATACAAAAAGGAACAGCTTTGGCCATTCATCAGAAAAGACTAGTAATAAGAGTTACTTTGTTTTGTTTTTGCCAGAACTGGGGTTTGAACTCAGGGCTTTCCGCTTGTGAGGCTTGAGCCACACCTCCAGTCTGAAGCTAAAAATTCTTTATATCACTGATTTACATAAAATTTTGCTGTTCCTTAAGCCATTACATCAAATTCAATGTCATCTTAATCAATAAATAATTCAATACCAATAAAATTTTTCTAAGACCTTTTCTTTAACATGCACATCCCCAGTTCGCTTTAGCCAACAATTTATCATAGCAACTTCCTGAATCTATTTTTATTAAGAATGTGTATGTTCTTGAAACGATTTCTAATGGTGCACAGATCAAAATGCCCTATGCACATTACAGCCAATGCCTAACAATTTATGAGTAAATTGACTACATTAAGATATATATGTATATATGTAACAGATCTTGGGTGTATATACTTAATGAACTTTTAGTTAGATCTGGTAGCTATTCTGTCAACATAAGAGTATTTCTTTGAGCTGGGCTTGCTGGCAAATGCTTGTAATCATAGCTCTCGGGAGGCAGAGGCAGGAGGATCATGAGTTTGGGGCCAGCCTGAGCTACATAGTGAGATCGTCTGAAAAAAAATAAATAAATAAAACCAGCAAGAGAGAGACAGATAGACAGACAGAATATTTTGTAAAGATGCCAGTGCCGAAAGAGTCATTTATTCTACAAGGCTATTTAATTCTGATTATCTCAGATCATTTCATATATCACATGTGACACCATGTAAACTAGTTAAGCCTGAGTTTTACATTCTTACTCTGTCCATGTCAGGAAAAATAGAAGTCTTCAGGTTTGTGCAGCTTCCCCTCCTGAGCCATACTTTCTCAAATAAATTGATTTTTTTCTTTTAACTTTTATGGATCCTCTGAATTTCAGACAGATCTATATTTAGATATAAATGAAGAAACACATATCCAAGCCAAGTGTTTATAAGTGTAGGTTTAAGTACAATGCCAAAATCTTTCTTTAAGTCCAAATAATTTTAAATGTACTACTTTTTTGTAAAGTATTTGTGCTTATCAAAACAACCCACCTATCCAGAGATCATACATCCCTCAATCATGTGGAATGAAGAAAACAAGCAGCACTTGGCATTCACCATATCTCCTAGGTATAGTGTAAATAAAAGTTTGCCTTAGAATTGATGGAACCCTGAAAGCAGCTAGAAATGATAACTGATGGTGGAGGTCAGAGAAATAGTATCATATGATGGCAATTCTATTTGATCACAGTGCAAAATAACGTGAAGCCTTATCATCTAGAAATGATGCAAATCCTGTTCTTTTACCCCAACCTTGAGGAAAGCATGTAATATACTTTAGGAACACTGCCATCACAAACCGCTAAGCATTTATACTGGGCTTTTATTTAGTCCCAGTAAATAGTTAGCTGGGAAAGTTAATTCGTTTGGAATCTTTCATTCTTTGACAATACTAGGTAAATGGCACATTATCCAAAGTGGTTTTTTAAAAAAATTAAGAGGGTCATATACAAAACAGAATGTAATCTTCAAGGCTTGAGTAGAAAGGTATCTGTAAGATTAAAATGGACACTTTACCTTCCTAAAAAAAAAAAAATCTCATTACCACTTGTGAAAATAATCTCCTGCAGTAGCCAAAGAGTTATAAAGCAGCTGTGTTTGATCAGAGACCATCAGTACACTAGAGTCAGGAAGAAACATCAGGAAAACCCATGTTCTACAAAATTTTTCCTGTTTATATTACTTCAAACTAACTCCTATTATTAAGTACTACAAAATAGGACTAACAAATATAAACTTCATTTCATTATTGTTCTGCAAAACCAATGACATATTTAAGCATATCTGTTAAGCAGCAAAAATAAAAACACAAACCTCTATGTTATTCACACCTACGTGGTAAATGTTATTTCAGTTTAACTTACAGTATGTTAATCTTAAAGGCACAACAGAATAAATCACTTTATCATGATAAAAAAATTTAAATTCATGTTGAAATCCTGGAGGAAGAGATTTCCATTTTGAGGTGGAAGGGGTCTTCCATATCCCAGGTATAAAGGCACTTATCAGCCCTTTTGTTTTCAGTCTAGTCAGAGATGTGCTAATTCAGCTTAAACTGATTAGAACTTACTCAGGCAGTGCTCATTTTCATTCACCTGCCATGGTGACTGCAAGCCAGACAGATTCGCTCACTAGCCCCATCCTGTTCATAACACACAGCCTAGGCTCCTGAGCTAATACCCAACTTCTGATTAGTAGTACTAAAAGCCAAACAGGAGCCCCATGGATAGTTATTTGAGCATTTAAGGAATAAAAACAAGGATGGGGGCCATTATATAAACTTTAAACACTACTGCCACAATCTCTAATAATAAATTTAATAAAAAATATTATATGCCAGAGTAAAATAATTTTTCTTACTAAGCAACATTTCTCTTCACCTAGATTCTTCTTTTATGCTTTCAGTTTTATCACCCCCTCCCTTTCTGTGATGGTTATGAAACCCAGGGTCTTGCGGTTTCAAGGCAAGCATTCTGCCACTGAGCTACACGCCTAGCTAGAACATATGTATTACTCTTCCTGTGCACCTTTCCAGAGATGTTTCTTAGAAAAGCAGGCAGATTGGGGCCCAGTAAGGCATTCCACAGTGAGAGCACACAGGAATGGAGGTATTTTTGTCTGAATTCCTTCTTTTTAGTACTGGAGTTTGATCTCAGGGCCTACACCTTCAACCACTCCACCATCCCTTTTTTATGATGGGTTTTTTTTTTGTTTGAGATGGCTGGCTTTGAACCTCAATCCTCCTGATCTCTGCCTTCTGAGTAGCTAGGATTATAGGCGTGAGCCACTGGCACCTGGCCTTTGCCTATTTTTTATCAAAAGGATTACTGAGGAGGCAAAATCATTTAATATTTGACAACAGTAGAGGCATGAGAAGATTTGAACAAGTCTCTGTGGCAATCATGACACTTCCCAGAAAAGTGGCCAAGGAATGCAACTTTTTAAAGTGCTACTCATAAATGCTTTAGGATACAATAACAAAGCATCAAAAAGGTAAAATCCACTCAGGTACTCTCTATGTGTTTAGAAAAAACAAAAACATTACAAACCCCCACAAATTTGCACTTAACTGAAAAATCAACCTTATAAAATATGAAAACCCTAGCATTATACAATTCTGTATATTCCCAGCTTTTTAAAATTTCTGAGGAAATGATTTCATTTTGGTATTGAAAGAATCAATTTCAACTTCTTTGGAATCTTACCTCATGAAACAAAGGGAATACCAACAGTTACTACTGTGGGATTTCACTAACAGTGTTACTAGAGGAACATAACAAAATGGCTACAAAGCAATCTACTCCATGACTTGGAGGCTTGAGGGTCCCACCTGAGATCACCAGGAGAGATTAAAATCATCTCATAATTCATTAAGTACCTTTGACAGCTTTACCGGCTTTTGTAAGGACAACAGAACAATTCTGATACATACATATTTAGGCAGTTTTGATGGATGTTCAAGAACAGAATAATAATGAAGAAATATGTCAGAATATTAACTGCAACTTTGAAAAAATCTTTAGCTCTTGCAATCTATATTTTTATCTTTTGGGTAAATAAAGCAGGGAGAGATTAAAAAGCTGTGACCCTAAGAATGTACAAATGGATAAGCCTCCCAGTAGTAGTCAAACAAATGTTCAGTATTTCAAAAGCGCCATAAATGTATATTGATAAGAAAATACTTTGGCATTTCAGGATGTCCAGAAGGCAAAGGTACTGAAAACAAACTTGAAAATTTTGCTTTTGATGTCTTAGATCCTGACTGTAAGTCTCTGGTGATGAGGTCTCTAAAAAGTGATCATTTTATTTGTTCATCTTTGTAATGTAGGAGACACAGCAGTCCGAGAAGTTTTTGAAGAGACTGGTATAAAATCGGAATTCAGGTCCCTCCTGAGTATCCGACAACAGCATGCCAATCCTGGAGCTTTTGGAAAGTCAGATATGTATATAATCTGTCGCCTTAAGCCATATTCATTCACCATAGATTTTTGCCATCTTGAATGCTTAAGGTGTGAGTGGATGGATCTCAATGACCTGGTCAAGACTAAAAATACGACTCCAATCACCACCAGAGTTGCTAGGCTGCTGCTCTATGGGTACAGAGAAGGGTTTGACAAGATTGATCTCACCATGGAAAAACTTCCAGCAGTATACACAGGCCTGTTTTATAAACTCTATCACAAAGAACTGCCAGAGAATTACAGAACTGTGACAGGGATGGACTGAATTCACATTCACATGTTAAAAAATTTTTAAAGTAAACCATTGACATAGATTAATGTATAAGATGTCATGAACATTTGGGATTGGTGAGATATCTGATGCTAATTTTCTAATGTATATGAGTTCTATGATGAAAATTTGTAAATAGTTTAAAATCCTCTTTTCACATAAAACAAATATATGAAAAAGATTGTAGCTCTAGTAATCTTCACTGGGTAACATCAGATTCTATGCAAAAGGACGGGAGTTTTGTTTTGTTTTTTTTACAGAAATGGTGAAGAGGCAATGGTTAAATATTTTACTATCAGATTAAAAGGTGTCTGGCCAGTTATCCAAACTGAACTGTATAAATTTATTTTCTTTTTCTCTCATTTACAAATATCTAAAATATACTTCTTTCATGTGAAATGAGATTAAATTCTGCCTTTAAAATCAGCGCTTAGCAGACATTGGAAGAAAAAGTATAGCTTTCTGCCCTGGTCCTGTTTTGGATCCAAGTTTATACTGCCCAGTTCGTTTCAGTGCCACATACCAACTGGAGTATTTCCTTGACCGGTAAGTATTGTAATTATTGGATTCCAGTCGTTCGAAAAAGAAACACTCATCTGTAACACATTTCTGAAAAATAAAAAGGAGAATTACTTGTTATGATACTTTTCATATCAAATAGTTCTGATAATACAATGCCTGTTCTGCTCAGTCAGCAACAATGGTCTACAGTTTGGCAGGATAATCAAATAAGCAAGACTAAACAGTCGAAAATATGACAGAGACTAAATGCAGAAGGATGCAAGCAGGAATACAATGTCAGCAGGACAGCGTCAAATATGTCTCTTCAATAGGGATGAGTCTGGAGACCATTCTGCAGCCTCTGCAATGGACAGGGGAGGTGTAGGGCAGCAATACTGCTTAGATGATAGAGGAAGCACACTAGTTCAGACACGAAACATCCACAAACAGAACACTGTTCATGGATCCTCATGAGAGTCTGACCTAGTAGCAAGAAACATGCTAAGAGAAGCTCAAAGGTATGGCTTCCTGTAGGTTCATCCATACTCCTTCTAGTCCTGAGGTGGGTTACCCATTAGGGTTACTTTTACTTTTACATTTTTTCAGAGGGTCCAGTGAAGCAGTGTGAGAAGGGTAATCCAGGGTAATCTTCCCATAAAGGAGAAGAAAGTTTATTAATGCTTTCCTCACAGAAACAGAATTAATTCCCTAAATAATAACGAATTTTTCTTCTAGTGGCTAGAGTTTCTTCCAAGCCATAAAAAGAATAGTTTGTTGTACAGAAAATAGCTAATGTTATATAATAGCAAATTTATATTGAAACATACTTCATATTATTAACAATCCCCAAATACTAATAGACAATGAGGAATAAATAAGGTAGAACATATTGATTTCTGGAAATCTCTTTCTTGTAGGAGTAGAAGGGACTCTTGCCTCTTTATTTCAATTCAACTATATCAGAAAAAAATAGCCAGTTTTCAGATAGTTAGATCTGCAAATAATATTCCAAGGAATGGAGACTAATATGCTACCACATTATTAAGGAAATGTTAAAAAAAATCAATCTCACAAGGCAGCACCAATGACACTTATTAACCTTAGGGGAGGGGCCAACTATTTGCTTTAACAGAAAAAAGGAAAAATCATTTATATTTTGTAATCATTCATAGATACATATGTATACATATATATATCTCAACTGAATGATAAACTCATGTTAGAAAACTATATATATCCCATTATAAATTTTAAACATTTGTATCCATATATAAAAGATGTATACATAGATATGTTACATAAATATAATTTTATAACAAGAAATATATTATTTACCACACATTCATATCTAGAAAACGAAGTTTTAGAAAACCACTGAAAAGACTTGAATCTTTTCCCAGACTTTCTGTTTCCAAGATAAAGCAAAACAAAATAGTATAAACTGAGAGGAAAACAAAACTTAATACACAAAACAAAGAATAGCTGGCATAATAACAAAAATGAGAAGAACAGGACCTTGAAAGACCTAAAAATGAATAATATAGTCTAATTATCTAAAATAGGAATGTGGTATTAGAGCCCATTATATGCTTCTAGAGAAAAGAATTTTACTGGACACTTCCTTGGCTTTAATATTTTGATGGCTCTTAATTTGATTTTTAAGAATTAAAATACAAACTTAAATAATTGCCATTGTGCCACACACTACTAGTACACAAGTCTTTCTGGTGCAAATAAATAACAGGTAGCCTGACGGAAAAGCATACATTGCATAAGAACCCACATAATATGATACACAGTAATTTCTTCTTTATAAAGATTCAAGTGGATAACAGTAAAATACTTAAACCTAGCTATTCTACATCCAATGCCGTCTATCTACCTTTGGTGAAAGTTACTGTCATTTGCTATGGTTTGTATATGGCTTGCGTGTTTTCCAAGGATTCACGTATTTGAACTTGGTCCTTAGTGTGGTGATGTTAAGAGGTGGTGACACCTGTAAGAGGTAGGGCCTAATGGAAGGTCATTAAGTTTGGAGCATCACCCTCAGAAGAGATTTAGGTAGTTTTCATAGGACCCTGGTTAGTTCTCACATGAATGAGTTGTTACATAAAGAACTAGACTGGCCCCTCCTCCATCTCTGCCTTCCTATCTCACCATCCAATCTCTCCCTCACACACTCTCTCCCACCATGATGCAACCTACCATGATATGCAGCCGGGGGATTCATCAGAGGCTGAATGGATGGAGTCACTGATCTTGGATTATCAGCCTCCACAGCTGGACCCAAATAAACCTCTTTGCTTTACAAAGTACACAGCCTAACATATTTCATTATAGCAGTATAAAATGGACTGATACATGCTTCTCATGTGAACTAAAATTAAACTCTTACTTTGTCATTTTCAGTGCTGATTAAATATCTTCTGTTTTCGTTGTCTCAGATTTAACAGCAGGAATAAAAGTTGAGGCAAAGCAAAGAGTGAAAGCAAAATTCATGATAATCATGAAGATAAGTGGAAGGCATTACTGAACTTTCACAGGTCAGCTCCCAAAGAGAAGACTTCAATAACTTCTCTCAGTTACATGCTCACTCAGTATTCTCTTAGCTTCCTGGATGTCCAGCCTTACTAGCTAACACTCCCTACAAAGCTTAGCCCACTAGGATATTTACTATGCCAATAATGTGTGCCTTTTCAGCCAGTTCCTAATATTTCAGAGAAAAGAAAGAATACCAGAGACTAAGAAAATGCATCATGGAACCCAAAAACTTTTTTTAACTGAGGTTACTTTTACCTTTGAAAAAACTGGAGGGCATCTGTGCTGAATGTTCAGTAGTTGACAATAAACTGCACTCCTCTTTAAAATGTGTAATATGACCAATCCTCAGTTCTCAAAAAATTCAGCATTTATCAGTGCAAAGCAAATGTAATTTTTTATTTCTTTCCATTCTAAGTTTATAAATGATCTTCAGTAACTGTGAGCTCAGTATTCCTATTAAAAACTAATACAAATACATCTGTATTAACTTTTATAAACATATTATAGAGCCTTTTTCCTATTCTCACTGTTTACTATTTCAAACTTTAAAGAGGATCTTTAGAGGAACAGTATCACAGAAGAAGTGGATACATGGCCTCTAAGGGTTTATCACAACCTATACGTTGCTGTTAAAGCCTTATTTTTACGTAGGCCCTAGAGTTGGGAAATCCCTTGATTCATAGTTATTGACTTCTTCATGTGCATTATTTCACTTAAAATCACAACAATCTTTTAGCATGATCACACTCAGCAACAAATGAAAAACTTAAACCCCAATGTTTTCAGTAATATTGTCCTTGATTTTGTTGATTCTTTAAAATTTAAGGGGAGATTCCAAGATGGCGGCTAGAGGTAGGAAGCAGAAAGCGACCCTCCTATAGTGAAATCTTGGAGGGACGCTGCAGACACACTTTGCCGGCATAATCACCGAGAAAAGGCATAACTTTGACTCCTCCACATCTCCAGCCGGCGCAGAGAATCTCCACCTCACGTTAAACGGAGAACCGAGGAGGCCCCCGGGCCGCCAGTGGCCGGCGCCCATACGGCTTGGGAAGTCGCGGACCAGGTGAGCTTCGTGGTACCGCGGTTCCCCCACAGACAAGCCTGGGCCAGAGCAGCATAGCCCCCTGGACAGACTGACCTCCACCCGGGAAAAAAAGAGAAACTGAGTACTAAGCAATAAGAACAGTTAAGACACGCTGGAAAGAGGGTGGGGCGCACTGAGCGCTGAAGATTGGGGGAAGGGACTCCTTCCCGGGACTGTAAATAAACGAGCCGGGCGGCCGGAGAGGCTCTGGCGGGAGCGGGGCGCGCCAGCAACCAGGAGCGGGGAAGCTTGTGAGAGGAGGGAAGACCCACTTCCCACGTGAACTGTAAATAAACACGCAGGCCTGACAACGCGGGGCAGTGTCGCCTTTCCCAGTGCTTGGAAAGGGAAAAGCCTGTAGCAGAGGCCCCCCTCCCCCGCACAGGAGAACTCTGAGCAAACAAAGCCTGTGGGACCAGGTGAGTGCTAAGCTCACCCCAGAGATCTGCATAAATAACGCCGCCAGCTACAGGCTGAGAGCAGCAGGCAGGCAAGCCACAGTTGCAGATACCACTCTCAGAACTGCCTCCAGACGCTTTTTTTTCTTTTTCTCCCTACCTTTGATGAGAGAACAACCGAATTACACCTGCAAGCCGAAAAACTTACTGAAACTGTATTGCATTTGAACTGGGGACACTTGGTGGGGCTTTTTTTTTTTTTCTTCTGTGTGTGTGTGAGTGTAGTTTTGTTCTACTTTATGCATCCCCTTTGATGAGACAACTACAGAACAACATCTGAGGCACCAACTCCAGGACTGGAGATTGAGACGGACATCCAAATTATTAAGACTGAAATTGCATTGCATATAAACTTGGAAGTTTTTTTTTTTTTTTTTTTTTTTTTTAATTTTCTATTTTCCATTTTATTTTAATTCATTTTTATAAATAGATATTACTTTCATATACTTATTTTTTATTTTTTTTATCTTTGATTTTCAATCCTCTCTCTGTCACTCTATTGTCTGTTCAGCTTACTGTCGATTAGTACACTAACACTCCCTGTTTATACCTTTGAAACTCTCTTGTCTGATACCTTGTTCT